CTAAACCCTAGACCCTAAATCGTAAATCCTGAACCCTAAACCCTAATTCCTAAACCCTAAATCCTGATCCCTAAACCCTAAACCCTAATTCCTAAACCCTAAACCCTAAATCTTAAATCCTAAACCCTAAACCGTAAACCCTTTCTTGGAGGAGATCCTGCGCATTGCCATGTCTGTACTGCAGGCCTTACCTTTAAAGTGTTCGGTTTAGGGTTTAGGGTTTAGGGTGTCGTGAGACGAGGCTGAAGATATCGTACCAGGCTGAAGATATGGCACTCGAGGGCAGCCTTAAACCCCTCCCAAAACAACGCTCTAAGCCCTGAGGCACACACTCCTAAAGCCTAAACCATTAGACCCCATGAAACACCCAGCCCTAAACCGTACCTCACTTCAGTAGGGGTATAAGTGAGGCCGAGCAGAAGAACTAGAATAGCCCCACACAGCGAGCCCTAAAAACCCTACACATACTTCCTGCTTCCTAAGCTGCATGATCCTCCCGGCACAAGACTCGAAGATTTCTCCACCTGCAAACCCCACCCCACCACCCCCTCCTGAAGCCCAGTCTTGGAACCTCGACGCCGGGGGTTCTGTTGGGGTTTGAGCCCTTAGTTTTTTCAGGTTTCGGATTCCAAAACCCTAAACCCTAAACCCTAAACCCAAGTAGTACTAGCTTTACTTTATCTCTAGATACCATGTTCATATCCTCGATCTCATACCAAATCGCAGCTTAGGCCTGCCTCAAACTGGACACCCCTGCTTCTGAATGCTGGACCTAGCGGGGATGAATAAGAAGGTGCATCCTGTTTAGGGGTTTAGGGTTTAGGGTTTCCTAGACACCTCCCAGGGCCCAATTCTTTCCGATCATGTCGCCCATCATGACTGCCAACCAGGAGGACAGATCGAGGTTCAGTTTTGTAATTTGGCTCCTTGAGTATGAAGCAACGTTTTCTGGGCTTCAAGCGGTCGTACAGGTTCTTTCTAATCTTGTAGGTTTGAGTATCGAGATTCAAGAAGCTGGAATTGGTGAAAGTTCTGCAGATTTCTCAGGCTCCGGTCTACATTTTCTCGAAAGGCTGCAGGGCATCTCCTTGCAAAGGCCTCAAAGAATGAAAACAGTCCCTAACATATGTATAGTAAGCCTGTTGCCCCTACGCCGTAAGCCACGATAGGGGTTTTGGGCTTTGAAGTTTTGAGCCTACAGAGATTTGTCTTTGTCGTGGGTAGTCCTGAATGGTGGTTTACCCGTGTATGGTACAAGAGTTTATCATCGCAGGCCCCTGGCAGCCCTTGCTGTAGGATTAGTTCCATTGAAACCGTAAACCCCCAAACATCACACCTACAACCCTACAAAATCCTACGGCGACCCCATCAATAGTTCAATAACACATATAAAGTCAGTTTAACACCATCTACACCCCCATAGAGCCGTATCTACAGGTGATGAGTTTAAGACTCAATTAGTCCCCTAAACCCTAAACCCCCATCCCAAATCACACCGCAACACCTGCTGCTTTGCAATTCCCAAAGCTGAAGGAGCCCAAAAGCCTTGAAGGTTGAAGGCTTCAGTTTAGGGCCTTGGGGTTTAGGGGTTAGGGCTTAGGGTTTAGGGTTTAGGGTTTAGGGTTTAGGGTTTAGGGTTTAGGGGTTAGGGCTTATAAGGTTTAGAGTTTGGGCAGCCTTTGGCCCTGAACCCGCAAACCCCCGGACCAGCACTCTGCACTGGCCGAAATCCCCAACCAGCCTCTCCGGAGCCCAAAGCCTAAACCCAAGCCTCAAACCCCCCTAAACCTGTAACTCAACAGCCTTAAGAGCAAAAGCAATCATAGAGCCCGTCTAGAGAACCTAAAGAAGAGCCCGACTCACAAGCAATTAAACCCTAAACCCTAAACCCTAAACCGAAGGAGCTCGTATCTGCAATGGCATGCAACGCACTTCGGTCCGATGCCGCCGCTTTGTCTGGCGCCTTATTACGCTTACCGTCCCCTGGCGGCTGTAGGGGTTTCAGGGTTTGGGATGAGGGGTTTATTGCTTTAGGGCTTTTCAACAGTTTTAGTATCGGCTTGTGGGGTTTGGGATTTCGGGTTTAGGGATCGCCTGCCGTCCCGGTTTTGTTTGTATAGCGTCCTCGGTGGGGATGGATTGGGGGTCATGTCTCATTCGTTTTTGTATCCATGTTTCTGGTCTTTGTATTTTGCGTTGTGGTGTGGTAGGTGTTCGTCCAGAGCCCCAATTGTGGCTCCGGGCTGAATATAGAAGCCTACATAATTACCAACATCATTTTGGGGTTCCTTAATATAATTATAGTATAATGGGCCCCAAAACCCTATTTTGATTAAACCCTTCTAACATCCTCTCAGGCTCACAAAAAATTCCTGAAGCCCTAAACCTAACCCTGTTCTTGATATAAAGGCACCACATGCAAAGACCCCAACTGACAGATACAACTGCCTGTAATCCACAAGCCAAAAACATGCGTGGATGTGCGCATCGCAGAACATGAGTTTGTATGCATGTATGTCCCAAAACCCTCAATTCTAAGTGACAAACCGATTGCCGTCCATCCCAAAGCTGCTTGCATCGCCAAGGTTATTATTACCCTTATTAGGGTTACGCTGCTGAGTGCTCAGCGGCATGCCATCATTGCAGATGCCGAGAGAAAATGCCACGAAGCCGCAACTAAACCCCGACCCCCCTTCCCCTAAGCCGTAAAACAACCTCAGACCCCCCCGTCATCTAGTGAGACTGCACCCGCTTGGCAACCATGCCGTCAAGTAGGCATTGTACCGTATCTTGACAAGGTCCCCGCCGGCGTTTTTGAATTCCATAATTCTACATTACTATACCCCAGAAGTTCCCGAGAAAATGCACGACAATCTCGTAACCTCTTCTCGATTCTCATGCTGTTAAGGCCCCTGTCTTAGGTCAGGCGGGCTTCGGCCTGATGGTTTATCAATGGCCATACCCAGTCAAATCTCCAGACTCTACGACTAGCTCCATCCTCGCAACCCCTAGAACTAGAGTGTCCAAGTACCCAAACAGTAGGTTCATAGGGTTTTATTTGCCCAAACTCATGCACAGGATAGTACTTGGCTTAAAAAGCCCTGTTATTTGGGTACTTGGACCCTTACGGAGAGGCCCTAAACCCTAAACCCTAAACCCTTAAAGCTACCCTAGAGAGGTGCGGAAGTCCTGAGTTGCCTTCAGCTTGAATCAGTTTGAATAAGATGATGGGTTTAGGGTTTAGGGCTTAGGGTTTAGATGGGTTTCTAGTTCTCTGAAGTTGGGTCCCTTTTGGGGGTCCGGTTTTGAATGGTGCTATGGCTATTTTGGGGACCTCAACAGAGACCCTAGTTTTGAGAACTACCCATATAAAAAGTCTGAGTTTTCACACCGGGAGTTGTGCATGATAGCCCCTTAAACTTGGAGGGAAGTCCTCTTAGGGTTGAAGGTTCAGGGGTTAAGCTTCGGGGTCTGCGCCTTCGAAGTCTAGCTGGTGGGCACTGTCCGTATTGGCCTAGAGTTACTAGGTCTCAGAGCCCAAAGACCTCATGACCTTGCACTATGGATCTCCACCAAAACTCCCAGAACCCGAACGACCTTTAGGAGGGCTTGTTTCAAAGTTTAAGCTTTTGCATGTTGCAACAGGGGGTGGATGAAAGGTCCGACCCTCGATCCCGTAACTTTGAGGGAATTATAGATGTTTCATGGTTTGAGGTTCGAGGTCTGGGGATTCGAATTCTAGCAATCTCGTGACGACGCTTTTGAGTTCGTTCACCATTGGCCTGGAAATACTACGATCCCCTCAGACACAGATCGAGTATATAGATACTCTACCCTAAAGCCTGAACCTTAATGTGTGGTCCGCTGTAGTAATGCGGGATACTAAAATGCGTGTTTTTTTATTCCTGACCAGATCAAGGAATCGGAGGTCCGAATAATGCTTTTTTTGGTGGGTTGTTTTTTTTGGGGGAGGGTTGCTCACTTTTGCTAGTGGTCAATCTTAAGGCAGCCACGACCTAAACCCCCACCCAAACCCTAAAGCCCTGCCCCACCTACTTAGGCCTAAACCTTAAATCACCCTTTGAGTATAATTAAGCTCTTAGGCTTTTCGAGGCTTTCTAAGGGGATTAGGAGGGCTCAGGCTCGGGTTTGGGTTTTCGGACTGAGGACAGTGAGCCAGCCCCCAAACTTTTCGGCCCCCGCAATCTCCTTCTAACTTAATCTCAGCCACCCAGAAGCACCCCCACACTATTCCGGACCAAACCTTTTGGGCGGGGGGGGGGGACCCCCCCCCCCACTAATTCGGACCACACATTACACCCTCAACCTCATCCCCAAACCCTCAACCTTGAACAATTCCGGGCTCCTGGTCTCTGCAAAACCCTTGTGTAAGTATTTCGGCCCTTATTTTGGGTTCCAACTCTCAGCGCGGAGCATTGCCCATGTAAATCCTTGACAAACAGACACTTTGAAAGAGCTTCCTTGTAGAACCACTACAAAATCTCCCCTAAACCCTAAACCCTAAACCCTAAACCCTAAACCCTAAAACCCTAGGTCCCACAACTCTAAGACTCTAGGCCCCCAAAACCCTAGAACCCTAATCCCTACAATCTAAAAGGGTCCACGTACTCATATGGGGGTTTCCGAAAATAGGGGACCCTAATGTAGTACCCTAAATAGTAGGATCCTTATTATAAGGACCCCAAAATAAGGTACCCTAGTTTTCGGAAATCCCATATGGCATATACATTGGCCCCCAAAGTACCTATACGGGGACTACTTTAAGGCCAAAGTATATACTATATGAGTACGTGGACCCTAAACCTTAAACCCCAAACCCCTAAACCCTCATCCCAGAACCCTAAACCCTAATCCAAGCCTAAACCCTTATTCCCAAATCCAAGCCTAAACCCTAAATGTACACTAAACCCCAAATCCAAGCCTAAACCCTATGTTTAGCCAGCCCAGGCCTGTACAAAGGCAAGCCCTGGCCAGCGAGCCAGACGCGCAGCAGCACTGATGGGCTTGGAATTTTAGGTCTTAGGGTTTAGGGTTTATAGAGGTTTGGGTAGGGTTCTATAAGGGAAGGGTTTATGGAAGGTTCTATAAGAGTTTTAGGTTTTAGCGGTTTAGGGGTTTAGGGTTTCGGGTGTTCTAAGGTGTAGGAGTTTAAGGCCTAGAAACTTGGGTTAAGGGCTTTACAAGGGTTCTGCAAGGGATCTGTCAGGCGGCTTTAGGGGTTGAGGATTTGGGGTTTCCCTTAAAACTGAAAGCCCTGAACCCTAAAGCCTAAACCTGAGTTCCCTCCCTAAACCCTAAACCTCAGACCCTTCACCCTTAGAGCCGTAGGCCCTGAGCCCGTAAAGTCATGAAGACTCCTGAATTCGCACCCTAAACACGAAACCCTAAACCCCTAAACCCTAAACACGAAACCCTAAACCCCTAAACTAAACCCTAAACCCCTAAACACGAAACAGTGCTACTTATACTTCTTCATTTATTCCCGTGCGCTCGAGAAGTCTGCAGCTTA